TTTTAAAAGTCTGTCTTTGAAAAATGAATTTGGAAAAGTCTTCATTTCTCATTTGAGAAATGAAATCAATAAGTTTACTCCAGGACTTTTTAAATTTCCTTCTCTTTTCTGTCCATCAAAGAAACAGAACTAAAGTGATACTTTATTGATGAGATAAATTTGAGTTTTGGATGACCTAAAACCAGATATTCCAATGTCCCCTTCTTTGTCAACCAACTCTTCACAACCTTTAAAATATAAGCAAACAGATAGGTATCTAATTGAAGATCTTAGGATGGCCAACTCTCAAACCCATCAGTGTCAGATAATTCAGAAAAGACAGTCGTTACTTTGGCACAATATGTGGTACTCACTCTTGATTTCCAATGCCTTGAATTAATTTAAGACATTAATGAAATAATAATAAGTATAATACCATGGGAATCTTCAGTAAGGTTACATTAAATTGTAAAGGCTCTTTTTATTTCATTGGTTGAACATGAAACAAGGAGCATATATGTCCTGGGAGAGTCTGCCTTTGAAATCTGGGTCGATTAGCAGACCCTAAGGCGGTAGGAAGATCACAGGAAGGTAGGTAGGTGACAGGAAGATGTTTTTTCTTTTAATGAAAATGAAGCCAAAATGGTGAATGGGATTAACATGAGAAGGATTTCAAGGGATATGAAAGTGAAGAGTTTTAGATAATGCTCAGGCAATTGCATAGGAATTATATACTGAACAATCTAGATTCTAGACTTTTCTATACAATTCCTTTTCTGTTATGATCCCCTTTCTAAATGAACAAGATGGAGAAGGCTCAGTTTGCAGGTTTTAATAACGATTCAGTAGCTTACTGTATTTAGATCCTTCCTGGGTGATAAGAGATTTCGCAAATGTTTTCCTAAGTTCATTTTCTGACTAATGGTATTTCTGGACTTCCCACCCTATGAGGGGGCTGAGAGAATTAATTAGCCCATGTAGTCTGTAATTGACTTGATGATGAAAATTGCTTCTGAGGTATTAAAGATCCTCAGAATGTCTCTTTCTCCACTAACCAGTTCTATCAAAAAAATACCACATGACTTAACTATCGGTACCCCATTTTTCCCTCCATTGTAGTGTTTTATCTTATTTGTACCTAAGGCTAGCTATACCCTACTGCTGAATAACTACGGTAGTCCCCCTGTATCCTCAGGTTAGCTTTTGGCAGTTTCAGTTTCTCATGGTAAACTGTGATCTGAAAATAACAAATGGAAAAGTCCAGAAATAAACATTTCATAAGTTTTAAGTTGTGTGCCATTCTAGGTAGCATGATGAAATATTATGCTATCCTGCTCCATCCTTCCCAGGGTGTGGATCATCTCTTTGTCCAGCATATCCATGCAGTATAAGCTACCTGCCTGTTAGTCACTTACTAAGCAACTCAGTTATTAAATCCAAAAACCATAGTATATACAGACTTCAGTATGATCCACAATTTGATGCATCCACTGAGGGTCTTAGAACATATCCTCCAAGGGTAAGGGGGGACTACTATACTCAAATTTTTATTCACTATAAATACCCAGGGGTCACCTATTCCTATGCAACCCTGGACCAGAAGGAAATGTAAATGGGAGAAGTGGAGCAGGCATAAGACAACAAGGGGTGGAGACTGGTGAACTAGACAATGCAGTTATTTAGCTCCAGACATTTTGGTCATGCAGAACTGTGATTTTAGAGTTGCGAAATCTTCCAGTTTTTTCAAGAGAAGCCAGAAGTGAGTGTGTGTGTTGTGTGTGTGTGTGTGTGTGTGATTTCCTGATTTTTTAAAACACTGTGATCAAAATAAAATATATCTATAGCCCAGGTTTAGCCCAAAGGCTACTAGTTTGCAATTCTTCACATATATCATGATCTTCAAATAAGTTTTAAGTTTCTTTTCTTGTATTAATGGACTGTCATCTTACCAATGTGAAATGGTTTGCATTTTAATAGGCACTAAACTTTTAACTATAGTATGCAGCAATGTTCAGTAGGCAGAAGAGATATTTCTTCTAGTACACATATCTTCTCAACCACCTGAAATTAAACCATATGGCCAGAAGGTCCTGCCTCAAGACACTAGAGTAGCTTTAGTATTGTTGCTATTCTCTAATAATTTTAATGATATTGGCTAACATTTATTGATCTGTAACTTGATTCCTGACTTTGGATACATGTTTTTATATGTATCATTTAACATAAGCCTCATAGCAACCTCATCAATCAGCATGAGCTATGATACTGCGGTAACAAAGCATCTCACAGTCTCTTTGACTCAACATGACCAACTTTATTTCTCTCTCATTCCATGTGTCCAACATGGATCATCACGGTGTCTCTGCTCATCCTCGTCACTCGAAAATCCAACCTGAAAGTTTTATCTCAACAAGTGCTTCTGCCATTGCCAAGACAGGAAAAGGGGGTGAGGCACATCACATTTTGACTCCTAAAGCTTCTGCCCATTAGAAACACATGTAACTTCTATTTACACTCATTGACCTTAAGATTTACTTTAAAAAACCAATGCCTGAAAACACCATTTTTTAATAGAAGGAAAAGAAGAATAGTTAGGAGGGACATGCTTTATCAACTATCAGAAGATATCACAAAGATTCTAAAAACAAATAAGTATTCACAGAGGAATAAACAAATCAGTGGAATGGGACCTAGAATGCAGAAATAGATCCCAATATATATGAGAATTTAATACATGATAAAAATGATAGTCCAATTTCATGGGAAAGGTGGATTGTTTTTAAGCCATATAGAAAAATCAAATTGAACTCAGAAAAAAAATAATTTCAGATGGATTAAATACTTAGACATAAAAAGAAAAGAATAGAAATTTTTTAAGAATGTACATGTATAGGGAAATCTCCATAACTAAGACAATAAACCTAGAAGCTGTAAAATAAAAGAAATATAGGTTTAGCTATATTAAAATATATATATTCCAAACAATAACAAAAAATAAGCAAATGAGAAATTTAAAAATATTTTAACATAGATGAAAAATACAAGATTAATATATGAGCTCTTTGACTATACAATCCAAAATAAAAAGAAAATAGTCAACTCACGGAAGAGCAAAACCAGATGGCCTACAAATTTATGAAAAGACATTTAAACTCACTAGTAATTATGAAAACAGAAAATAAAATAACAATGAGGTTTAAATCTACCAAGCTGCCAAAAACAAAAGAGTAATAATATCCATGTTGGTATGGATGTAGGGGGTGAATGGTGCTCTCATTATTGCTGGTGGAAAAGAGAATTGTTGCAATCCTTTTAGGAAAACAATCAGCAACATTTATTAAAATTAAATATCCACATCCCTTTGACTCAGAATTCACACTTCTGGAAATCTATCTCAAAAAATATACCTTAAGGAGATACAAGTAGATCCACCATTTGATCCAGCAATCCCATTACTGGGCATCTACCCAAAAGAACAAAAGACATTCTATAAAAAAGACATCTGCACTTGAATGTTTATAGTAGCACAATTCACAATTGCAAAGATGTGGAAACAACCCAAATGCCCATCAATACATGAGTGGATTAATAAAATGTGGTATATGCATACCATGGAGTACTATTCAGCTATAAGAAACAATGGTGATCTAGCACCTCTTGTATTTTCCTGGATAGAGCTGGAACCCACTCTACTAAGTAAAGTATCCCAAGAATGGAAAAACAAGCACCACATTTACTCATCAGAAAATTGGTTTTACCAATCAACACCTAAGTGCACATATAGGAATAACATTCATTGGGCGTCGGGCAGATGGGAGAAGGAAGGAGGGGATGGGTACATACATACATAATGAGTGCGATGCGCACCGTCCGGGGTATGGACATCCTTGAAGCTCTGACTCGGAGTGAGGGGGCAAGGGTAATATAGATAACCTAAACATTTGTACCCCCATAATATGCTGAAATAAAAAAAAAGAAAAAGAAAAGCCTCAGCACACGGGGACACGTACGCAAGGGAGTTAGTCACAGCATTGCTCAAAGTAGCAGAAAACTGGAAACAATGTGAATCATGGTGCATCCACACCATAGAAGTAGAAAATGAAGGAGAACTGCAGGAGTTGACTTGGAGGGATTCTGAGATATTTCCTAGTGAAAAAGAAAAATGTGGGAAAGGGGTTTGTAATATGACCTGGTTTTCTAAAAAATGGCCTAAAAAACCTTATGCATGGGGATTTATATAGATTTTAATGTACATATATATGCTTACATAGCATTATATGAACATGGGTTTAAAATATGCAAAGATACATGCTAGTTTTATAGCATAGCATGGGTTATGGTGGGGATGTGGGCAGCAAGAAAGGAGATGGGGAGGGAGGAGGCTTGCCAAAAGGAAAAAGAAAAAAATGTCTGCACAACAAACCCCAACGTATGTGTGATAATCCTATTTATTCATTAATGCAAAGATCTATATGTAGTGTATATGTATAAATAATTTCTAGACGGGAGGAGGGAGGAGGGGATGGGTATATACACACCTAATGGGTGCGGTGCGCATGGTCTGGGGGATGGACATGCTTGACGCTCTGACTCGGGTGGGGCAAGGGCAATATATGTAACCTAAACATTTGTACCCCCGTAATATGCTGAAATAAAAAAAATAATAATTTCTAAATATGCTGTGTAATAAAAATGCAAACCTGGTCATATATAAACAAAAGAAACTTTCCAAACTAATGTCATTTGACTAAATTATAATTTAGGCTTTAGATTGAGGGAGGTCAATCATTTATCCTATCAAACACAAAGAAGGACTTAAACTATCTCCTTTTAACAAAAGGAGACTAACACTTATGACTGAGTCATATTCTTTAGTATTCCAAGTCCTTCCTGCAAAAAATAAACCCTCTTTTCTTTGTTTCTTGTAAGTAGATTACTCTGTACAGCCTTCTACAAAGTAATCTTATATAAATCAGATGATCAGTATTCAGTATTCTCTTCTTATAGTTAAACCACCATAATTTAATTTTATTCATATAATTTTATTTCAACAACTTTTAAAAATATGAAAATTTCATAAGCACTGCTTTCCTATTACAAGAAATAGAAAACCTATTTTTAAAATAAAAGTATATTGACATTTATAATAACATGTCCAAATTTTACTCATGTTTATTATGAAAATACAGAGGTGAATCGAAAGAGGATATCATTGCACATTGTCAAATGAAACAAAGATCTCCTTACCCAAAATAGAGAGGGTATAGATGTGATTACTTAATATAAAGCAAAAGCTATGTCTACCAAAGAGCAGACATGCAGTTATTGATCTGGAATTGGCATGATGACAAACTACTCTGAAATTCTTCCTCTTCCCAATTAAGGTGTCTCTCTTGAACTGATTGAAAGCCGTTTGATAAGTATACTTTTTTTAAGCTAGTTTGCTCAGTTGGGGGTCTTTTTATTAAACTGAAATTCCATCATTAGCTTTGACTAACACCAGCTGCTGTATAAATTCTTTGTTGATGTAGACCTCCACTGGTATTCCAAACATTGCAGGTGAATCTGTGACTCTGAAATCCTCAATCATGCAGCTTGAATAATTAACATCTGATAAATGTAGACTAGAAAGGATTGTTATTAGAACACATTTTACTGGGATCACAATCCCACCCTGGCTCCTCAGAACAATGACCCAAATAGGTCTTCAGTTGTAAAAAAAAAAGAAAGAAAGGAAAGAAAGACAGACAGAAAGAAAGAAAGAAAGAGAAAGAAAGAAAGAAAAGAAAAGAAAAAGTGTTTCTGAATCTCTCCACTTCCTAATTTTTTTCTATACTGATGAGAAATGAGAAAGGACACAAATGAAATGTTTTAGCCTTACAGCAGTTAAAGACAGAATCCAAGCTCTAGCATATTCTTACTAGTGTTTACCTGAATGTTCTCATTCCACATAATTTCAAAGCATTTGGGGCTCATACCTGCCAGGATTGTTCTCTCTTCTAATTAGCTCACAGTCCATCACTTTAACACAAAAGAGAAACTTTCCCATGCATGTAGCTAATATTATTTCTATGACATATATGGTAAAAGTACAGCACAAAACAGTGATAGGAAACGTCCATAGAATGTTGAATTTATCAAAAAATCTACCTTTTGTAGGAGGTGTGCCAAGTAGAACTTTTCCTAAGTGTATTTGATATATTTCAGGAGCTATATTTTAAACTATGATAAACTCGAGTCCATGAAATAATGAAATAAATACATTAAAATAAAATATGCCATGATAATACAGTGGTTAAGAGCAGAATGTTCCAGAGATCAATTCCTGAGTCTGTTTCTTCATCTGTAAAAGAAAATATTAGTATCAGGCTCATGGAGTTACTTCAAGCACAAAGTGAAATAATGCATATATGATATTTAGCACAGCACAGTGTATTTGTTTTCCATTTCTGCATAACAAATTACCATATACTTAGTGGCTTAAAACAATAACCATTTTTATTATCTCAGTTTCTGTAGGTGAGGGCATGACTTATATGAGCCCTCTGCTTAGAGTCTCACAAAGCTGCAGTCAAGTTGTCACCTGGGCTGCGTTCTCATCTGGAGGCTTGACTGGGGAAGAAGCCCCTTTCAAGCTTGCTCAGGTTCTTGGCAGAATTCATTTCCTTACAGCTCTGAGACCAAGGATCCAGGCTTCTTTCTGGCTGTTGGCTGGAGCCTGCCCAGGGTTCCTCATTTTGTGGGCTTCCCCAACATGACCACTTACTTTATCAAACCAACACAAAGAGTCCCTTGAATGAGTCTGCTAGCAAGACAGAGTCTTATGTTATGTAACACAACCACAGGAAGGATATCTCATTACTTTTACCATATTCTATTGGTTAGAAGCAAGTTGCAGGTCCTGCTCCCACTCAAGGGTGAACATCAGGAAGCAGGGATCACTGGAGACCACCCTAGAGTTTGTGTAACACACATAGTAAATGAATAAATAAATGAATGAGTGAGTGAATGAATGAATGAACTTAGGTTTGAATGTAAGCCACAGACCCCCTTGGACAACAGAAAACATGGGAAATCGTTCTAAATACAGGATAAACAGGTGGATGATAGACTCTCAAAGTAGCTGCACAGTTGAAATCATAACACAAGTGGTCAACTTTCGTGAAAATAATGCATTGAAGAATAATGGCAATCAGACTTTGAGGCCCAGTGAATGTCAGAGTAATATGTGAGGGATGGTGGGGAATAAAATCTGAGGAAAAGACCAGGGTTTTTAATCTCACTTTAAAGTGATAATTCTCTTAAAATTGGAGCAAATGGAGAAATTAGAAATTAAATAAATTATTCAAATACAGGAACATAAGTTTTTAAGCAATAGAAATAACTAACAATAAAAATTTTTTTTTACCACAAATGGAAAATAGAGTTATCATCTCCAAGTATATAAAAATGTATTCAAACACACATGTGAATTCTAACAATATTCCCAATAGTTAAATGGACAAAGGACATAATTATATGATTAATGCACAGGAAGTATGAACAGTGAAATAAATTTGAAGAACAGCTTAAATCTAATATGTATAGGGCAGAAGCCTTACAAAGAAAAAAATTTTAAACTTCTCTTCTGACCACGGGCTCATATTAACATGACTGTAACAGGAAAAAAAGCTATTTAGAATTCTTTTAATTTTACTTCTCCTAATCTGGTAGCTGGAAAACAGCAAAACAAAGATCAGACTCTGGAAGAACAAGAACTAGGAAAAGGGGATGGATATTCCACAGGAAGATCATTTGCCTCAGGATGAAATGAATCCTGCTACTTTTAATGAACATTCTAATGTTCATTAAATGACAATGCCTCAGCTTCTGCTGACCTCCTTCTCTGTGACTGCCTTGCCAGATGCAGCAGGATAAGCACTGTTCCTAGACTTGGCACCAAAGCAGTGGCACAGGTACGTGATCATTTTTCCCTCTCCCATGGGCCTATTCTGGGTAGTCAGAGGATATTAATTTTGATGTCAGGGATAATATGCCCAATACATTTGTCCACATGTGCCCTTGAATCTCTTCAGGAGTTAAGTTATAGCATATCTCTCGTCATGGCCAGGAATGGAAAGGCCAATAATTAAATGAATAAGAGCAAGCACTCACTAAGGATCTGTTGTGGTTATTAATGTTGTTTTTATCTTCAGTGGGAATGAATCAGACAAGGATGGGTTTATTCCTGGAATCTAGATGAGCTCTCTTGTCGTGGGACAGCTGCAGTGGAGGTAGGAGGACGAGGCCCAGCCCAAGGGGGACAGTACCTGAAGGTGATGATGATGACAGCAGCAGATGGTGTCTGGGAGGTCTGACAGCAACAGTCAGGGCCCGTGGTTTCCAAACACAACTCCAGGCTGACTAGCTACAGGAGATCCTGTACACTCTTCAAACCATTGCCACTCACCACCTCCACTGACTAAGGGCACGATTAGTCTGGGACCTGAGGCAGGGCTGGGGGACAGGAAGGTGATGCAGCAAAGGGGAATCAAGAGGGAAATGGGAGAGAAGTTTAGAGAACCAAGCAGGTAATGGTTACAGTACCTTTCTGAGAGCAGCCATTGGTTATTACACTCTGGAAGAGAGGAGAAAATAAGTTACAGCAGAGGCCTTCAGAGGGAAGGAGCAGACTGCACATTTGTGCTTTACATTTGCCCAGGTGAAGGATGGGTGTCTCCCTGGGCTCCACTGGTCTCCTCCCTGCCTCAGTCTATGTAATGAATGTACTTTTGTCCTGATACTTTAAATTTGATTACCCTAGACTCATTTGGAGGACCATCCATGGAGTAGTTATAATAGTTCTTGTCTGCATTTGATGAATCTTCCCATCAGTATGTCTTCCTTGGACTGTAAACTTTTGGAGCTTGGGCATCAGATCTACGTAGTTCTCTGAACAGTGTATAACACTATAAATAATTAGATGATTAATTTTTTAGGATGAAGAAGATGATGCTACTTGTAAAATATAAAAAATGAAATAGATTCATAAAGCCATTTTTTTGTCATAATATCAATGGGAAGTGAAAAATACTCTGCTGGTGAGAAAACAGCAGTACCATTTCCAATTTTTAATGTGAAACTAGCTTTCTATTTCCATTAAAATGCTTACCATTGTAATCCCACTTCCAGAAGACTACTGTAGGGAAATAATCAGCAATATGAACAAAGATTTATGTGTAAACACGTGAGTACTTAAGTGCTGAATTATGGGAAAATGCCCAAGGAAAACTTGATACATCTGTAAAATGGAATTGCCAGCAGTTATCAAAAATCATAGTTAATAATTTTAACAGGAATACTTTAAAATAGCAAGTGAAAAAAGAACATGCAGTATGTTTCAATATATTTTTTCTAAAGCATAGATAAATTGGAAAGAAATACACCCAAATGCTAAAAAAAAAAATGGAGAGAATTCATAAATGATGGCAGAGAAATGGCTTAGAGGTGAGCAATAAGGAAATGGGATGTGTCAAAAAGCACTAAGAAAAGTGAAACTCATTTTTTGAATACCGTGTGCAAGCAATGGACTAAGTGTTTAACCCTATTAATAATTGTTTTTACTGATTCAAAAAACAACAAAAAATAAATAAATGAGACTTAAAAGCTTCTTCACAGCAAAAGAAGTAATCAACAAAGTAAACAGACAACCTACAGAGTGGGAGAAAGTTATGTGCAAACTACATATCCAACAAAGGACTAATATCCAGAATCTACAAGGAACCCAAAAAATACAGCAAGAAACAAATAGTGTGTAAAAGACATGAACAGACATCTTTCAAAAGATTATACACAAATGGCCAACAAACATAGAAGAAAATCCTCAACATCATTAATCATCAGGGAAATGCAAATTAAAACTACAAGGAGATATCACATTACCCCTGTCAGAATGATCATTATTAAAAAGTCAAAAAACAATAAATGTTGACAGAAATGAGGTGAAAAGGGAATCCTTATACACTGTTTGTGGGAATGTAAATTAGTACAAACTCTATGGAAAACAGTATAGAGATTCCTCAAAAAAACAAAAATAGACCTACTATTCGATCCGGCAATCCCACTAGGTGTCTACCCAAAGGAAAAGAAATCATTATATCAAAAAGACACCTGTACCCGTATGTTATTGCAGCACAATTCACAATTGCAAAAATATGGAATCAATCTAAGTGTCCATTAACTGATGAGTAGATAAAGAAAATGTGGTACATATGTATACCAGGGAGTACTACACAGCCATGGGAAAGGATGAAATAATGTCTTTTGCAGCAACTTGGATGGAACTGGAGGCCATTATCCTAAGTGAAGTATCTCAGGAATGGAAAAACAAATATTGTTCTCACTTACAAGTGGGAGCTAAAAGATGGGTACGCATGGTCATACAGAGTGATATAATGGACACTGCTGACTCAGAATGGGGGACAAAGAGGGGATGAGGGAATAAAAATTACCTAGCAGGTACAATGTACAAATGTACACTATTCAGGTGACAGGTACACTAAAAGCCCTGACTTTACCACTATACAATTCATCCATGTATCAAAAAGCCACTTGTATCCCCCTAAATCTACCGAAATAAATGTTTTAATTAAACAAATAAAATAATAATTGTTTTTAACAATTAAATATAAACACTGTAACAAGGCTATGGGGAGAAGAGAGCCTCTTTCCACAATGAACAGAAGCCTCCCATATTGACTTAGTGAAAGAAACAGGAAGCTAAGGTACTTGGAATAAAGTCTGTGTGAGTACATGAGATGACTCAGGTGTAGTTAGGAGCCCATTGCCTCTGCCGAGCACCTGAGTGTGACAGTGAAATGAAAGTGAGAAGTTGCAAAATGAAATTCATGGTGGGCATTGTGAACATATATGGGAAGAAGGGACAAGCAAGATAGGCCAGTCTCTACTAGTTTCTAAACCTAGACACCCATCCAGAATTACGTGGATAACTTCCTAAAACCACAGGTGTGCAGCCAAGAAGGCACGGGCCAAAGTAACCGTATCAGGTCATGGATAAGAACAAAATGAAACAAGATAGGTGCCAGGCAGTGCATAGAGAATGGAAGGAACAGACAAGCCACGTGCATGCTTTGTGCTTGGTGCTTATATGGGCTTACTCATTTATCCCCTCACAGCAGAGTTCCATAACTAGCTTGAGTTTCTCCATTTAACCCCTGCCTTAT